AAACTGGCCAACGACTTTGTCTGAGGCTTGGGAGGCGGGGCGACGGGATCGACGTCCGCGTCAGGCTGCCCTCGCAGCCACTGCGTGCTTACCTGATAGAGCACCGGACACTGCTCCGGATGCAGTCTGCGGTCATAGACCTTGTAGCCACAGAAGGGACATGAGTGGCCCTTGGCTAACTGGGGCGAGGAGCCCTGACAGATATTAACAGCCCGCCTGTGTAGGCGTGACCAGTCCTTAGGATGCGCCTGACGAAAGTGCGACTTGACTTTGGTGTGGTCAAAAGTCCAGAAGTCACACGTCAAGCACCGATGATTAAGGACCTTGGAATCCGCAGTCCTCGAGAGCTCCGCGATGCGGTGTTGTGGGAGCAGAGCAATGTCCTGTCTCAGCTGGAAGAGAGTCCTAATATCGGGATGGCTGGACTGTTTGTCTGCTTCTTTTAGTGAACGGAGCTTCTGAGGTTCCGGACATGCCCCCGAAAGCAAGTGGTCACGTAGGCCTTTCCATTGATGGAATTTACGCCTACATGCCGCACATTGCGGCATCCCATCCACAGCGTGGAGCTTTCTATCGAAGCTTGAAGGCACAAATCGGTCAATGCTCGCCGGATGAACCCTCGACTTATGCAAATGTAGTCCATTTCCTGTCTCAAATGAAGCCACGCAGAGCGTGCACTCGTATGAGGTTACCGGATGTTCCTCGGGCTCAGGGAGTTGTGACAGGACCAACAGCTTATCTCGGATAACCTGCAGAACCGAGGGGTCTGTCGTGATGTCCGGGCTTTGCACTGCTCGTCGCTCAAGTTTGCGAAGCCGCTTCCTTAGCTTGGACTGCAGTGCGTGGACAGGGTCCTGGATGTTGTAGAGCTGGAAGAGATCCTTAGTGGTGATCCGAGTGGTGTGAGCCGGCAGGTTCAGCACCGATCGTACCTTGTAGGCGTGCCAGCTGCGAAGCTGTTTGGCCGACTCTTCGCTTAAACCGACGTCAGATAGGCCAGTCGTCAAGGTGCTCAGGACAGTACTCTGCCACACCTTAAGGCGCGACATGGTACTTGCATACCTGCGGTTGTAGACGAATTGGCGAACTTGATGCAACTTTTGCTTCGCCTCCCCCATCCGAAAATGCAGAGTCTGCAACTCGAAGTGGTTGTAGGAGAAATACTTGCTTGAGGAGACCCACTGGAAGGCAGGGAACGACTTGTTGGGCCCGATGCGCCACCCTCTGACTGGCTCTCCTTTGGGGTTGGTAATCCAGCAGCTGTATTTGTTCATCACATTTTGTGCTTCTCTACCTGCCAGCTTTGCCAAAATGACGCACTTGCCGATGTTGACTCTGAGTCGATGTTTGCGGACCTCCTCCAACAGGGCAGCTATAAGTGCATGGATGGCCTTGAAGTCCTTCTCAGAACGAATAGTCCTATGAAGCATCAGGTCATCGGCGTAGCCCGTCAAAAACTTCAGAACCTGTTCAGCACCGAACAGATCCACCAGAGACCGGAAGAGGTCACCTGTGAGGAACGAGAATAGGGTGGGAGCGAGCTTACATCCTTGTTTAATGCCTGCTGTGGTTTCGATAGAAGTGGAATCGCCTTGGGCATGTAAGACATATCTGGATCCGTCATGGAGAGCTTGAACGAGGTGGACTGTGTCCTGATCGGCCCCCCACGCTGAAGGAGACCGATAATCTCTTGGCGAGAGACTGTGTCAAACGCCTGGCTTAGGTCTAAAGCAAAGGTCAGACCGCCTACTAGAGATGGCACCTGTGTGCCTTGCTGTATAGCATGTCTCGTAGGATGAGCCTGCTCCAACAAAGACCGAGCCTCCCGCAGATGGCACACGACTCGTTCCAGCGCATCTGAAAGCCCACGACCAGGAAGGTAGGCAAACTGTGGCATGTGTTTTAAGGAACGAGAGGGTCAGGGGTTGTAGCGCCTCTCTGGCCGCTCCGGCCAGTCCTTTAGCATCCGGTCTCAAAATGCCCAAAGGACGCAAGTTTGCTGGCTTGTCCGAAGGCTTGCCCGGTTTGGGGATTAGACACAGATCGGCGTCGATGAGATCAGATTCTAGTCCATCCTCTACTTGTTTAGCAGCCACATGTCGGGAAAGGACCGGTGCAATGACGTCACTGCAAAGTCTCCAAATGGCAGCAGGTGCAGCTCCGTCAGGCAGCTTTATTAGGCTTGATGGAATGAATGTGAGCGGCTAATTTGGATGACTCCAAAACCGGAAAAGCTCCAGTCATTGGCCTCAGCGGGGGGTGAGCCGCGAAAACCTGGTTCGCGTACTCCCTGAGTGCCGCAAGCTCCTGCGCTGGACCTAGAAGATTTCCTGTGCTGTCCTTGAGCTGAGCCCGACGCGCCGGCTGCCAAGGCTGCAGCTTTTTAAGGGTTTGAAACGAAATATGTTGGTCGCCCTCCGCTATGCTGGCGTCAACTTCAGCTATGAAACCCGCTATTCTGTCCTTTTTTGCTTGCTTCACAGCTTGTCTGCGCGCAACTTGCGCCAGCTCCACCTCAGTTTCCGGTTGAGGGAGTGTGTTCAACCCAGGAGGCTGTGCCATTGGTTGATGAGGCTCGATCAGCTGTGCTGAGGGAGCTGTGTTGTCTGCTCTGCAAAGGGTCCTGGCCCTCCACATACGTCGAGTCTCGGATTCAAGCGGGATCAGTCGTCTTTGGGGGAGTTGGGGAAGAAACGTTCAGTGCATTCCAATCTGAAGGGTCCTGACAGGACTCCATTCTGGATGCTACCCAACTATGCAGTGCCTTAGCTGTGTCGTCCTCCTCACGGACTGCGGCCTGAAGAGCTAGGGAATCATAACGGCGTGTGCTTCCCTTGTGCGGTGGGAGTAACCAGTGGTGCTGGAGGGGGATTTCGGCCTTAATTGGGTAGTGCCCACCCTTCTTCCAGCTACCCAACGGGCAGTCCGTCCAAGGGGCAGACCTTTTGGCCTTGCCTCCTGCAGCGGATTCCTTAGTAAGGACAAAATCGATTTGCGACTCCACGCCACCTTGAGCAAAGGTGGCAATGTTGTCACAGTGCTAGGTATTAAGGGCCACCAATCGCAACCTTAGCAGCAGATTGGAGAAGTGGGATTCGTCAGGACGATCCTCCGTGGGCTGCTTCACGTGTGTACCCACCAATGGAGGACACGAGCGCAGGGAGGTATTAAAGTCGCCTGCCACGACTAGAGAATCCCGCTTGGGCACCTGCTTGACCACCTTAGACATGACTGATAGTACATGAGCACGGTCGTCCTTGTTAGACTGGATGGACTTGGCCGAGGACCAAGCATGTTGATACACAGCAACAATGACCAGCCTAGTACCTGCCATGTCTGCACGAGCTTCAAGGACCCTGCCTGGACTCCACTCCTTCCAGCGAAGGCTCTTGGCTGCAAACTTGGGTGAGAAGAGAATCATGACGCCATCCGCCCGGGTCGTGGATGGAGCCGCTTTCGGTTCCTGCCTAGTCTTGCGCTTCGCGCCCTGCTTCTGCTTGGTGCTACGTTTGGCAGACTCCGAGGCCGAAGAGATGCAATGCCAACCTGAAACACTGAACTCGCTAGTCTCCGTCCAGTGCGTCTCCTGCAGGATAAGGACGTCGCAGTGGTGGGAGGCTTCAGCCGGCAGCCACGTTTTTAGTTCTCCCCATTGCTGTTGACCTAGGTGCCCCGCGTTCCAAGAGACTACCCGAATGGATCTTTCTAGTCGTCCTGCCCTGCGGGAGATGCGGGAGGCTGTGCCATATGCAGGGGAGCCGTCAGTCTGTGACTGTAGCTCTCTTCTAGTGGGTGGGGGTCGTACCCCCAGCTGGTTGACCAGAGTGGGTGTCAGGACCTGCCCGCGGTATGGCACAGGCCCGTCACTTCGTATGGTCCGTCTACATGCTGTCTTGAACGAATTCTTGCGAAGAGATGCAAAGTTTTGTGAGTGCACTGGTAGTTGCGCCATCCGCTACTTTCGTCAAGAGACAGAAGCCTAATGACTCCCTCCACTGCGCGGAAGTGGAAACCCTACCGCCTACCGTGTTGCAATGTTTTAAACAGAGTCTGGGCCCAGGAATTGGGACCTGGCGGCTCAAAGCAGCTCCTGCGAGAAAAGGGAGAGGACCATGGCGTAGAGAGGAAGCGCAAACCTTTACTGTTCAGAGAAGGGCCCAGTAGGAGCCTCTAGCACAGAAGTTGCGCCCCAAGCCTGTTCGAAACCTCTCATCCAGCGCGGCCGCTTGAGCACTTGTGTTCAACTTTACCTAACCCAAGACACGCTACGAGCTACCGAGCAAAGCTAAGCAGAGAGACCTTTTGACTTTGCCGGAAACGCGAGAAGTAAGTTGAAGCTGCAAGCCAAAGCTAAGCAAAGAAAAGCTGCAACGAAGCTACGAGAGTTTAGACCCCCCTCGCCCAGAGTAAAGCAACAAAAGTACGAAAAGTATACATAGCTATGATAAAGCTAAGATATAACATCACAAAGGGTAGGGCGGGTGGGTCAAAATTTTAAAGCATGGAGCGAAGCTTTAAGCTATGCTGAAGCACGCGTGTCTTGGGCCGAAATGTTGTGTTTGGAACATGGTAAAGTAAAACACCCATGAGTAAACACATGAAACGTTCAACTTTACCTAACCCAAGACACGCTACGAGCTACCGAGCAAAGCTAAGCAGAGAGACCTTTTGACTTTGCCGGAAACGCGAGAAGTAAGTTGAAGCTGCAAGCCAAAGCTAAGCAAAGAAAAGCTGCAACGAAGCTACGAGAGTTTAGACCCACAGTTTAACCGGCAAAGTCAAAGTCTCGCCCTATGGTTCCCCAACGTTCAAAGTGAGGGTTTCACGCGCTCGCTCAGTGAAACGCTGCACCCCGGGCAACAATCCTGCGGGCGTAAAGCAGCACCATGCCACCCCGGGCAATCATCCTGCGGGTGGAGCATATGCTGCACCCCGGGCAAACATCCTGCGGGCGTAAAGCAGCAGCATAAAGGCCCCGGGCAAAGATCCTGCGGGCACTGTCATATGTCATCATCTGACACATGTCGTTCCGGTGTCTCCGCTGGCAAAGAAAAGTGGGAAGGCCACACCAGGACTTCCTTGCGAAAGAACCAGATGAACTTGAGAGAGCAGTCCACCCGGTCTTCTTTGCGCCATTTGTCAGGTAAAGAATCAGTTTGATTCCACCTGCTCAACAGATCTGCATCATCATTTTTCTCACCGGCGATGTGAGAAATATCCAGCTCAATCCCCGAGGCTGCAGATATGAGGGAAAGTTTCTGGGCAAACGCTCCCAATGGCCACTTGGCAGTGTAAAGCTTCGCCCCCAAGGCCTCTGTCGAGGCGTTGTCAGAAAAGGAGGGGAGGCGAACTGCCACACGACCCGAAGGAAATACTGACCTGTAAGCATGTACCAAAGCAATCTGCGCCAAAGTCTCATAGCAGGCAATGTCCTTATGCGCGGGTCGGCGAAGTTCCAAACTCAAAACCGACAGATCGGAAAGCTGCCAGGCCTGAGAAAACCAAATGTAAGCACCAGACGGGAAGGCAATAAAACCGCCAATCCCAATAAGCTCTCCATCAGCTCTTGCATCCGCAAAGGCCTCAACCTGGAGTCGCAAAGGAACAGAAAGAGCCGTATAAGGCTGAGGTCTTCGACACCATTCTCTCCAGAATGAAAGAAAGGTCCGCGATGCTGGTGACAAAGAACGCCGATCAGATTTGGGATTAGTCACCCGCATCCAGATCCGATTGGAGGTACGGACCTTGCAAAGGTCTTGCTTTGTTTTCAGTTCTGTATGTCGTGCTTCCAGTAGTTTGCCTCCCAGCGGAACTTGAGTACCCGGAGGTACGGATGTAAAGCGAAGATCATCGTCAAGGTAGTTAGCCAAAGAAGGCCAGAGCCCCTGTGATATGCTATACTGGGAAGCCAAATGCCGATGTAGATCTGAGAAAAGGGACGCCAGCCAGGGTTTGCAAGATCTGTAAAGCTGACAGAACCACTGTAGGAGTCCTACCAACTTGTGGAGCAAAGCACTGGTAACCCTTCTGGACCGTGTAGCATCCTTGATCAAGTTGAAAAGCTTATCAACTTTTTCTTGCGGAATATGAAAAGAGCCGCTGGTAAAGTTGAATGTCCAACCAATCCAGGTAATGCAACTTCCCAATTGTAACTTGGCCCAGCTCAAAGGCACTCCGAATATAGATGTAAAGCAAAGTAAGAGTGACGCAGAATAAAGGATGCACTCTCGGTCCTGGATGAAAAGAAAATCGTCGACGTAGCCCATAAGAGCATGGCGCACAAAGATCCAGAGATGCATGAGTCGTAAAAGCATGCCCGCCAGTCGCTGAAACCACAAAGCAGAGAAGTTTGCTCCGAATGGACAAACTCGGTAAAAGAAAAGTTTGTCATCCTTACCCTCTTCACCCGGTAAAGTGACACCGAGCAGTCCCTGGTCAGCCTCTTTGACCCTAACCGTTTTATGCGCCGCCTTGACGTCGAGATGGAAGCCTTCACACAGGCCTGCATGAAGGCGCAAAGGAAAGCAATCTCGAACATCTTGTAGACCTGGCAAAGTGTAGCGCTCAGGGATAGAGCATGCATCGTTGGTGCCACACACGGTGGAGTCAACCACCAGCCTGGGAGCTCTCGGGGGAGAAAGTACAAGGGACATTTTCCCTACCGCAACGCGCTCTCCCCAACGTTCCTGTGCCGCCTGTAAAGAAGGCATCTCAAACAGCCATCCTTTCTGGACCTCAGCCTGCACCAACTCCCGCAAAGTATCTGGATCATTATTGGCACTTTGCCAGTTGTCCTTGGCAATGGAAAGCTGGTGATCAAGTTCCGGTGCTGTCGGATGTGGTATGAAAACCTTGGAAAGCGGGATGTCACTGTCATATCCTGTGGGAACCCCATCAAGCAGGCACTGGCAAAGGGTATCATCCTTGTCCTTGACAAACTGTGAGAAGAACTTCAAAGCATGCAAAGCGTAAGGTTGATGATCCGGAATCGTCCAGTCAATCACATGTGACGATCCTTGTTCTGAGACCCAGGACTGAAAAAGCTGTCTGAAATGCTGAATCTCGCCTTCCTGAAAGAGTGGCTCTGAGCTGTGCTGCAAGGCATGGGCCTGTAGTCGTTGTGGGATCTTTTCATCGAAGATCCACTGCCGAAGTTTGGACCTGAGATCGCAAAGTACATCCGGAACCCCAGGCGGAGGCGTACTCCAATCAGGCACTGAGTAAATCCCAGCACCATCCTGGTTGGCAAAGGGTGGATCGAATCTCGCTTTGACATGCCTCAGAAAAGGAATCTGGCCAAACTGCAAATCTTTAGGTTCCAGACTTCTTTGAGCGAAAAGATGCAGGGAACCCTCGGCCACTGCGAGCACAAAGTCCGCGCTCAAGGAAGAAAAGTCAAAATCCCGATGGGCCTGCATTGAAGACCCCGTCGAGGAAGCAGTGGCTAAAAATTGCAAAGATGAAAAGGACGCAGCCAGGAGCCCAAAGCCGTCGAAGTTGCAACCAAACCGTTGTGGGTCCCAGAAAATGGCATCTGCACCCATCTGCTGTAAAAGAAAAATCACCGAAGCATGGCTCCACACTGAAGAACCAGAGTGCTGAGAGAGCAGTACGTGAGAACCCGCTGCAAAGCATGCGTGTGCTATCTGAATCATACGGTCGAAAAGATTCGAAGGGAAATCACCGGCGCAGAGCAAGATGTGCAAAAGGGCAACCTGCCCAGAGTGACAAACCCTGAGCAAGGAAAAGAAGAACGCATCTTGTAGAAGGTCACGTTCAGGGAAAATTTCGGGAGCGACCGAGAAAGTATCACAGCCAGCTCCAAGAAATGCTGCTGAAAGAGGGCGCCGGGCCCCACCGTTGATGTCCAGGAAAAAGCCTGAGTCGAGTTCCGAGACAGAGCATGCAAAGTTCTGAGGAGCACTCTGTACCACGGGCTCCGGAAAGGTAGTACCTGGTGGTGAAAAGGGAGCATCTCCTGTAGCATCTGCAGGCAAAGCAACTGGAACCAGGCCTTCCTCGCCTGCATAGTCCGGGCCCGGTCCCCCTCATGCACCTGCCTTTTGTGCATGCTGAAAAGCAGGATGCTTCTGCAGGCAAATCTTGCCGTTCTCCAGGATCACGGGGCAAAGGTGCTCAAACTTGCAATTGTTGGAAGTGCAGCCTTTGTGGGTACTGTATGCCATGCAAAGCACCTTGGTCTCACCATTGATCTTCGCTTTGTTTGCCCACTCAAAGGCATGTGTACCTTTGGTAAAGGTAGACTTCCCCTTTCCTGGAGTTGTGCCGCCTTTGCCCCCTGTGGACTTGCCTCCTTTGGGGGTAAGGCCCTTCCAGGGCTCCTTGCCACCCTTTCCATCACCTTTCTTGCCTTTGAAAGGAGCGAGTCGAGGAGCAAGCAAAGCAACCAGCTCGGCACGAACGTCAGTGAACTCATGTAAAGCATCATCCACCGACCAGCCTTCCTGCCGAAGTTGGCCAACGACTTCCCAACATCGACGATCTGCTGCTTCGCACTCCTGTGCATTGGGCGGACGCAAAGTTGGGTCTGGTCTTGCCTGAACATGTTTCAAGAATTTACGCTCATAGGAACGTAAAGTAGCAAGATGAGCGATGTCCGCAAGCGCGAGCGCGTTGGAATGTATGGAAAGTAAATTGCTTATTCCATATAATCCCATGTTCTCCGCAACGTTGCGAGAGGGCACGTCGTCGTAAAGGACGTCGGTAAAGTTCTCAAATCTCGCCAACTTTCTGGGTCTGGACGAGTTGTAATCCTCTTCTTGTTGTTTGGAAAGTCTATGTTTCCAGGAGATGAACTTCCAGTCCGACGTGCCTTTAAGCCTGTAAGCGAGAGAAAGCAAACGCGCACTCGGAAAGTTGGTGTCATCGAGAATTTCGGATGGGTAGGATTTCTCAAAATCCCGCTTCAACTGCAAAGTCGTTTCCGAGGAGAGCTTGGGAGGAAAGGTCTCCGCCCAAGACGTATGCAAAGTACTCGCAGAGGAATCTGAGGCCACCGACGGCAAAGTGCATATCTTCTGAGCCTGCACCCACAGAATCCTGAGGACAGGGAGTTCATCTGCATCAGGTGACCAGCCTTTGGAAGCCAGGAAAGCATCAAGACCTTCCAGGTTTACGGTGCCAAGGCCAAACGAAAGCAAAGTCAAATCACCAAGAGAGGCTGCAGATGCCGGAATCGAGAGTTGCAAAGCTGTGGCTAACTGCTGCACCGTAGATCTCGAGGATAAGGAATCCATAACCTGACAAGCACACTGGTGGCAGAGGTTACGCAAGATCCTATGCGAAAGTGCAACCAGGCAAGCCGAAATTTTTCTCGAAGAGCAAAGTAAGTCGATGACGCGTGCTGCTGGGTCCCAAACGAAAGGAAAAAGGGCCGGAGGCCCGTGCAAGGCTGAGCAAAGCATACCTACAGTGAGCAAGACGCTAAAGTAAAGTACCAGCTGTGGGAACCCAGCAAGCATCCTTGACACAAGGAAGAGGAGCACTGCTCAAGCCAACGGCTGTTGTCCAGGCGGCTTGCAAGAAAGGGCTACCAGCACACGAGCACAAGCGCACTCATTCTGGAAAGCTCAACTGAAGCGACGCGCTGCGACCCGCACCCTCCCCGGGCAGTCCTGAGGGAGGAGAGGAGGAAGAGAGAGCTGAGAAGGAAGTGAGGCTTAAAAGGCTGCGGCAATCACGCACTGGAGAACTCAAGGCCTCGCTGGTGGCACTGCACCTAGAGCTACCACCAAAGGACCTACCAGGTCTGGGAAAGCGCGTAGAAACCTACTAGGCAAAAGAAAACTGCAGCCCTACAAGGTCTGTGTGCACTCGCAACCTGCGGTGTTCTTTTTCCGACTTCGCGGAGCTAGTGGCTGGGCTGAGCCCGCTTGTCGAGGTGCGCTGCACCTGCCTTCTGCGATCCGCAGACAGGCCGGTGGGCAGCGGAGGCTCTTGTGGCCGGACTGTGCCGGCACTACTGTGCTCTGCACCTGTGTGAAACGGGCGCAGACGAAAGGGCCACTGGCCTTTCAAAACTGTGTCCGAACACTGTTCGGGGGGCACTGGAAAACGCCGCTGGCGTCACTACCAGTCGCGGTAGTTCCAGCGCCGGTCGTGGTCCCAAGACCAGCGACCCCGGGACCACTGGTCCCGGTCTTCGTCGTCACGGCGGGACCTCTGGTCCTTGCCTTTGCCCTTGCCCTTGCCGTCTCTGCGGCGGGCCTCCCGATCGCGGTGCTCGCGCTCACGGGCTTCGGCTGCCTCGCGCTGCAAGGTCAACCGAAGGGACTCGGGCGGCCCCCTAGTAGGGCGGCGCTCGCCCGTGTACTCGAGCTTGCCGTCTGTCCGCGGGACAGTGCCTGGGCAAGAGTATAGTTCTTTGCGCAGCGTGGGCAATGCATCACGCCGCATTCTGGACACTGCCAGGCCTTGCTGCGACGATCGCCTGTAAACTGTCCCACAGCGCCACTGGCGCTGGGTTGGTCATAGGCATGCACTGCTGCCTTGAAGGGGTGGAGCTCGCCGCATGCACTGCATACGAATTCCGACGACGGATCGCTCCAGATGTTCATCTGCATGTTGTCGCAGACTGAACATGCGAAGACTCGCTGAAGCTCCGCCGCTGGCGGACGCTCCGCCGCTGGCGGGCGATCTTCCTGATCGTCTCGATCAGTGTTGTTGTCGTCTGATGCCGGGCCGCTGGCCCGGGTCCCAGCGACGCCAGCAGGGTTGTTGCGCGGGGCCTGCTGGCAGGGGCGCGGGCGGGAGCTCTCCCCACGGCGTGCCACTGGCGGTGGGGGAGGCCGCTTGTTGTGGCGTGGGGCGGCGGCCTTCGCAGGCGCCGCTGGCGCCTGGTTCCTGTCGACTGCCGGCACTGCCGGGCTGGAGGACTTGCGCGCCACCTTGCCCTCAAGGGGAGGGTGCGGCTGCGCTGGCGGTGGCGGGGAGTCGCTCTCCGACTCCGACTCCTCCGAGCGGGAGCCTCGGTCGTCTTCGGTTTCATCCCCCGCTGGGCTCCTCCACGTCCATATCCTCTGGCGCTGCCGAGGGAGCTTCCGCTGGAAGCGGTTCTTCTTTGATGCCAGAGCCCGCGTCCTCAGCGGGACTGGTCAGGGAGCGTTGTCGCGCGGCCTGCGCTGCAGCCGCCGCAAGAGGCAAACTGTCCACCGCGCTGCGGTGGCCGTCGGAAGAAACACCACGCGCCGCCACTGGTGGCTCGGTGTTTGCCGGCACCACTGGAGGCTCGTAGCCGAGCAGAAGTCGCTGAAGCGCGACTGCATTGGCTTCTGTGCCGCCACTGGCGGGCTTCGTCCAACCAGCGAGTTCCGCTGCCTCTGCTGCATTCACCACCACGTCCCCAATCTCTGATAGGGAGACGGCGGCTTCGTAGAGGGCGGCCCGCTGAACCTCCGGCACTGCGCTGAGCGCCTGCAGCATCTGCTCATTTGTCGGGTTCGCCATCGCTGATGGCAGACAGAAGCTTCCGCTGAAAGCGGGGTTGTTTTGGGCACGGGGGGCGACTTACTAAGCTGAAATGGCTGCGGTATGAAAGCACTGCTTGAAAACCGACACGGTTTAAGAAGCTGACTCAGCTGAGGAGACCTACCAGGCTCGCGTGACGCACGACTGAAAAAGGATAGCGGCGATCTTTTGCCGCCATTCAAAGCAAGCCGTCGGCCCGCCGCTGTGGGCGAGGTTCCAAGTACCTCGGAAACGCCCGCCCTGCAGGGGCTGCCGAGCTGTCGGCGGTGAGCCAAAAAGAGGTGCACTGCACCGACGGCGGGCGACTCGCTGAGAGGCCAGCAGCTACGCGCTGCACTCAGTGCCTAACGACGGCCGCCCCTGACGCCGCGGTTTCGGGGTCGCTGACCCCGGCTGCTGCGATAGCAGGTGTCGCATTCGTGATGATTGTGGGGGCTCCTGCCCACTGAGCAGTGCCGCCCACAAATTGCCATACCCTGGGAGATGCAGCCCTGCTGCGCGCAAGGCATGCAACACATGAGGTCGCCGCGCCTCTCCGGGTATCTCTCCCATCTCTCTGAGTTGGGGGCTGCCCAATAGGGCCATTCGTGCACGTCTGTGACGTGCAGGTGCGGCGACTAGCGCACTGTCAGTGTCGATGATTTCAATGGCCGGCTCTGCCGCTGGCGGGGCGACGTCGGCAGCGTCGGCTGCGGGCGGGCTGCCTGTTGTGGCCGCAGCGGGCTTGGTAGGGGCGGCCGCTGGCGGTGGCAAGGGAGGGTCCGAGGCTGATGCCGACGCTGTCGGCAGAGCAGTACTGGACGAGGCGGTGGGGTCGGTACTGCCGCTGGCAGCTTTGTGGGTCTTTTTCTTTGCCAATGGAAGCCGCTGGCTTCAACCTTAGGAGCCACGTGGCCCTCTAGGTCCACCCAATTGAGTCTCCACTGGAGCTTGGGGACATTATCTTCCTCCCCACTGGGGGGCCAGTCAAAAAGGCCGGTATACGGCCAGCCAGGCGTGGCCGCTGGCCGCATAGGCATGCACGTCGCGCTGCGACATAGTATACCGGTGCATCGGGTAGGCACTGCCTGAAGTGTCCGGTTGTTCCCCTTGCATCTGCGCAAAAGGGTAGAAGGGGGGCCAAACTTTGGACTCCCCTTCCCCCGCTCGATTCAGGGGTTCGTGGTCGTCGCTGACGACAGCGGGGTCTACCCGCATGGCACAGCTCAGGGCCCAAAGGAGATAACTTATCTCCTGTTGTGCCATTTCTTCACGCCTGGCCTGCTCTAGCACAAAAATTGGATTGCACTGCAAAAAGCGGAGGCAGGAGCGACACTGTCGCACGCGTTGCAGGCATTGTGGCGCTGCCAACTGATTTTCTCGACCGTCCCTTCTAGGGTACGGCGCCTCTGGCGACTCAGCCGCATACGTGCGGGCTGCTTGGTCAACCATAACTGGCACTGACAGTTATATCAAAGGGAGTGGAAAGTCGTCGCTGACGACTCCCACTGCTGCGGAGCACTACAAGCTACTCTATAAAAACTTTTTGGATCACAGATCCAACTCCAAGCCGAAAGCTGCACGGCAAAGTTTCTCTAGTGTCACTCACACACAAGTGAAAACACTGTTTTCCTTTTTCGACAAACTTTGTCTACACTTTCGGCGGAAAATAAAACCCATTCACGCACGCATGATGGATGCATGCAACATATGCCCCTGCTCAAGTCCACTTCAAAGTCCAAGAAGCTGAAGAAAGCATCGTTGAAAAATCCGCCAATCCGCCTCATCCACCTGAGGTTGGAGGTTTCAAGGTGAAAAGTAGCTGGAGGTTCTTCCTTAACCTACAAAGCAGAATAGTCACAAATTTCCACAGCCCGAGGAGCTGAGCACGGACCGTCGGAGTCTCGATGCACACCTGGAAGGGCTAGTTTTCCAGGCTTACAAGCTTGTGAAGGCCTCGGGCTTCGAGTTTTCCAGAAAAACAAGATGTGGAAGTTTCTGAGTTTCTCGCTGAGCATAACTCAAGCCGAATAATTCATCGGATCATCTATCTGCCATCTGACCTCATATTTGGGAGCAACAGTTGGGCTGCCGGGTTTAAGGTTTAGGGCTGAGGCAGGTCGAGTGGCAAAAGGACGAACCCACGTAGGCATCATCCATTCACGAAGCCACACCTGGGAGGGAGGCCATGTGCATGTGCATGAAGATGAATGGGTGTGCAGCTCAGCTACAACATGTCTATTGCGTGAAAGCCAAGAAGCTGAGTGCCGAGTAGTGCAGCGACCGAAGAGTAATTCATCGGTTTATCCACACCACCTGAGCTGAGATGATGGTCACTCGGGCGCCGGTTCGAGGACTCAGGGTGAAGGGGGCTGACAAAGTAAATAGGATTCAGGGTAAGTTTAGGGTTTCACAATATTTTGCCGAAGAAACTGGGCACTGAAGAATGCATCGGCCGATCATGCCAGGAAAACGCCAGTCTCACCTTAGATGGGGCTTCCGCTGGAGCTCGGATGCAACGTCTGAAACTCAGGCATGACACGATTTAAATTTGTAGAAGCAGCATCCAATGGCATCCTATGGCTCATGGCCGTGCCTTAAGACGGACGGGCGAGCAGCTCGGCTACAACCAGAACTTGTCTATCGTCCGGAGTCTGAAATTCTGAAATCCAAGAAGCTGGGCTGAGCATGAGGAGCAGTGCAGCGACCACGGAATAATTCATCGGATATCCACCCCGCCACCCTCAGCTGAGATAGGCTGACGTGATGATCACTCGAAAGCGGGCTTAGA